CCCGGGCCGCACGCACGCCAGGTGAGCGTGCTACTGCTTGAGCCACATCCCCAGCCCTCTCACCATATCTTGGTGGGCGTGGCTAACAGCAGTGTGCTGCAACTGAGCAGGTACTTGATTTCCAACTCCCTCACCACCAGATGTGATAACTCTAAGCCTTTCTCAAAATCTTTTGGGGTGCATGGCTATCAAGGCAGAAGACCAACTGTACAGGCACCTGGTTTCCAACTCAGAGAGACTAAGAGCAGGGAGGCTCCAGGTAGAAGCTCAAGCCCTCTCACACTGGCTACCTCCACCACCCTGAGGGCAGAGATGCAAGCTAGGAATAGACATCACCACCTGCTGGAAGAAAAGAAAACAGAATTCTGAGAGGTCTTTTCTTTTCTTTTTTCTTTTTTTTTTTCTTTCTCTCTCTTCTCATCCATTCTCCTCCACCCTTCCTCCTCTGGTCCTCACAACCTCAACATATGTGAGACCAAGAACTCTGCATGAAATAGGACTTTAAGAACCGAATCACCAGAATAATACAATATAGAGGAATTGCATAAGCCCCCCTCCCCCTTTCATTTCTTATTTTCATTCTCCCTCTCTCTTTTTTCTCTTTTTTTTCCTTTTTATTTTTTTTCCTCCATCTCTCCCACTTTCAACCTCCTAACTATTACTGTTTTTATTTCAGGTAATTTTCTAAATACATATAGGTGTTTGATTTTATGCATTCTTCTGTAAACTACTTCCTGACTATTCATTTAGAGTTCTCCTCCAAAGTTGCTAAGATAAATTAACCACATACCCTCACAACTTTCCCCCTTGACATAAAGTCCTATGACTGACCCCCAGTTCTCTATACACCTCCAAAACTGTACACCTTTTATGAAACTAATGACTATATTTTTAATAATAATTGAATCTAACATCTCTAGACATAGAGACTAACTATAAATGTATTAATAACGAAAACTTGCTCATAGATGATGTGTTGTTGATATTGGGAACTGTTAACATTGTCTTTCTCCACAAAGGACAGATGTCAAAACTATACAAGAGCAATATAAATCTATATGGTAAAGACAATAACACAACAGTCTCACAGAGCTGGAAAGAAACGTGAGCAACATGAAAAGACAAGGAAAGAAAGGACCACAACCAATGCAGCACAATTCAACATTAGAAGAGATAACATCTACAGCAGAAAGTATGTCAGATAAAGATTTCAGGATATACATGGTCACATGTTCTGGAGTCTCAGGGAAGACTTTATACAGCAAATGCAGACAATGAAAGATCACTTTGGCAATGAATTACATAAACAAATCCAAGAAGCAAAAGATCACCTCTGCAGGGAGATAGAGGTTATACAAAAAAACAAACAGAAATCCTAGAAATGAAAGAAATTATAAACCAAATTTAAAACTCAAATGAGAATATCACCAGCAGAGTAGACCACTTAGAAGAGAGGACATCACGCAATAAAGAAGTATATCATCTCGAAAAGAATTCAGACAGCTCAGCAAGACTGATAAGAAGCCACGAGCAGAACATACAAGAAATATGGGATAGCATAAAGAGACCAAATTTAAGAGATATTGGGATAGAGGAAGGTATTGAGGCCCAAACCAAAGGAATGAGCAATCTGTTCAATGAAATAATATTAGAAAACTTTTCAAACATGAAGAAAGATATGGAAATCCAAATCCTAGAAGCCTACAGGATGCCAAATATGCAAAATCAGAAAAGATACACACCAAGACACATAATAATTAAAATTCCCAACATGCAGAACAAGGAGAAAATTTTAAAAGCCACAAGACAAAGGAAGCAGATTACATATAGGGGTAAACAAATTGAGTTAATGGATGATATTTCAACACAGACCCTGAAAGCAAGAAGATCCCGGAAAAAACATATTTCAAACGCTGAAAGATAATGGGTTCCAACCAAGAATATTGTATCCAGCAAAATTAAGCTTCAAGTTTGAATATGAAATAAAAATCTTTCATGATAAAAAAAAAAGTTAAAAGAATTTGCAGATATAAAACTGGTGCTTCAAAACATCCTTGGGAAAACATTTCATGAAATGAAAACCAGCAGTGGGAGGGAGTACACTAAAGGAAAAACTGATCAAAGAGGAAAATCAAGTCAAGTTAAATAACAAAAATAAACAATATGCCTGAAAATACAAACCATATCTCAATAGTAACCCTAAATGTTAATGGCTTAAACTCACCAATCAAAAGACATAGGCTAGGAGACTGGATTAAAAAAAACATCCATCAATATGCTGTCTATAGGAGACTCATCTGATAGGAAAAGACATACACAGACTGAAGGTGAAAGGTTGGGAAAAATTATACCACTCACATGGACCAAGGAAGCAAGCAGGGGTGTCCATACTCATATCAAATAAAGTAGACCTCAAGCCAAAGTTAATCAAAAGGGATAAAGAAGGACATTTCACACTGCTCAAGGGAACCATACACCAACAAGACATAACAATTATAAATATATATGCTCAAAGAATGAAGCAGCTATGTTCATCAAACAAACTCTTCTCAAGTTCAAGAGTCAAATAGACCACAACACAATATGATTTTAACACACCTCTCTCACCACTGGACAGATCTTCCAAACAAAAAATGAATAAAGCAACTATAGAACTCAATAACACAATTAATAACTTAGACTTAATTTATATATGTATATATATATATATATATATATATCTATATATATATATAATCTATCAACCAACATCAAGCGGATACAATTTCTTCTCAGCGGTACTTGGATCCTTCTCAAAAATTGACCATATGTTATACCACAGGGCAAATACAATGGAGTAGAGATATTACCATGCATTTTATTTGATCATAATGGAATGAAATTATAAATCAATGATAAAATAAGGAAGAAAATTTCCTACATCACAAGGAGAATGAGCAATATGTTACTGAATGATCTATGGGTTACAGAAGACATCAAGGAGGAAATTAAAAAATTCTTTGAGGTAAATGAGAACACAGACACAACATATCAAAATCTCTAGGACACTATGAAAGCAGTACTAAGACGAAAATTCTCTGTATGGAGTTCATTCCTTAAAAGAAGAAAAAGCCAACAAGTAAATGACTTCATGCTACATCTCAAAGCCCTAGATAAAGAAGAATAAATCAGTAGCAAAAGCAGTAGAAGACAAGAAATAATTAAAATCAAAGATTAAATCAATGAAATTGAAACAAAAAGAAACAACTGAAAAAACTGACAAAACTAAAAGTTGATTCTTTGAAAAAATTAATAAGATTGACAGACCCTTAGCCATGCTAATGAAGAGAAGGAGAGAGAGAACTCAAATTACTAGCATACGGGATGAAAAAGGCAATATCACAACAGACACTACAGAAATACAGAGAATAATTAGAAATTATTTTGAAACCCTATACTCTAATAAAATAGAGGTTAGTGAAGGCATCGATAAATTCCTTCAGTCATATGACCTGCCCAGATTGAGCCAGGAAGATATACACAACTTAAACAGACCAATATCAAGTGAGGAAATAGAAGAAGCCATCAAAAGATTACCATCCATGAAAAGCTCAGGACTGGATGGGTATAGAGCAGAGTTTTACAAGACCTTTAAAGAAGAACTAATACCAATACTCTTCAATCTATTTCAGGAAAGAGAAAAAGAGGAAGCTCTTTCAAACTCATTCTATGAGGCCAATATCACCCTGATTCCAAAACCAGACAAAGACACCTGAAAGAAAGAAAACTTCAGACCAATATCTCTAATGAATATAGATGCAAAAATCCTCAATAAAATTCTTGAATATCGAATACAAAAACATATCAAAAAGATCATGCACCACGATCAAGTGGGATTCACCCCAGGGATGCAAGGTTGGTTCAACATATGGAAATCAATAAATGCAATTCATCACACCAGTAGACTTAAAGATAAGAACCATATGATCATCTCGATAGATGCAGAAAAAGCATTTGACAAAATACAGCATCCCTTTATGTTCAAAGCACTAGAAAAACTAGGGATAACAGGAACTTATCTCAACATTATACTACGCTATGCCCCAGGCCAACATCATTCTATACGGAGAAAAACTGAAGGCATTCCCTCTAAAATATGGAACAAAACATGGATGCCCTCTGTCACCACTTCTATTCAACATAGTTCTGGAAACACTAGCCAGAGCAATTAGACAGATGAAAGAAATTAAAGGAATAAGCATAAGAAAAGAAGAACTTAAAGTAGTACTATTTGCTGAAGATATGATTCTTTACCTAGAAGAACCAAAAAACTTCACAAGGAAACTTCTAGAAGTAGTAAATGAATTCAGCAAAGTGGCAGGATATAAAATCAACTCCCATAAATCAAAAGCATTTCTGTATATCAGTGACAAATCCTCTGAAAGGGAAAGGAGAAAACTACCCCATTCACAATATCCTCAATAAAATAAAATATTTGGGAATCAAATTAACAAAAGAGGTGAAAGATCTATAGAATGAAAACTACAGAACCCTAAAGAGAGAAATTAAAAAAGACCTTAGAAAATGGAAAGATATACCTTGCTCTTGGATAGGCAGAATTAATATTATTAAAATGACCATACTACCAAAAGCACTATACAGATTCAATGCAATTCCAATCAAAATTCCAATGACATTCCTCATAGAAATGGAAAAAGCAATCATGAAATTCATCTGTAAAAATAAGAGACCCAGAACAGCTAAAGCAATTCTAAGCAGGAAGAATTAAACAGGTGGTATTGCTATACCAGACCTTAAACTATACTACAGAGCAGTAGTAACAAAAACAGCATGGTACTGGCACTAAAACAGGCTGGTAGACCAATGGTACAGAATAGAGGACACAGAGACCAATCCACAAAACTACAACTATCTTATATTAGACAAAGGTGCCAAAAGCATGCACTGGAGAAATGATAGCATCTTTAAAAATGGAGCTGGGAAAACTGTTAATCCATATGCAATAAAATGAAATTGAATCTGTATCGCTCACCATGCACAAAAGTTAACTCAAAATGGATCAAGGATCTAGGAATTAAACTAGAAACTCTGCATCTAATAGAAGAAAAAG